ATACATTTTTATCCAAATAAAAAAATTGACACAAATTGAAAAGAAAATGTTTTTAATATACATACAGTAAAATGACATTTTGAAGTTTCAGGTAATTTAGAGATATTGCTCAAAAGTATTGTTTCTATTGTTTCATTTTTGTAGACACTGTAGATTTTATATTTTGCTTACATGAATGTATTACTTTGAACATGTAATATGATATGAACAAACCACTTTGTCTTAAACATGTTTTGGTTTCTCAAAGTCTCCCTTTTTCTTTGGCACTTCCATAAATAGGGTGAATGGAAGCCAAAAATGATTGACAACCCAGCTTACAAAGGAGAATGGGTTCATCCCGAAATTGACAACCCAGACTATGCTGCAGATTCAGAGCTTTACAAATTTGATGACATTGGAGCCATTGGATTTGACTTATGGCAGGTATGTGCTCTTTGTTGTATATTCTGTATTACTTTCACAATACTTTCAGTGAGAATTTATCTACAAAACTCTGTTATATCAACCTCTTTATTCTTTGCAACTTTTAATAGAGTTGCCACTTGTAGTCTTGTAAACCTAATATTATACTGTATAATGAACAGGTTGTGTGATTAGTTACTTACAATACAACTATATAATTCATCTTAAATTGTGGGTCCAGCAAACAGAAGTAACCACTCTTATTGCCCTCAAAGTTTCAACATCTTTTGAAGAATAACTTTTGAAGAACAAACATTGATTTAGACAGATAGTTTTTTGGGAAGCCATGTTTATTTTAGGATGGTATTAATTAACCACTCTATATTTTTTACAATGTAGGTAAAATCGGGTACAATCTTTGACAACGTCCTTATCGCGGATTCTGTGAGTGATGCTGAAGAGTTTACAAAAGAAACATTTGACAAAACGAAAGAAGGTGAAAAGAAAATGAAAGATGATCAGGATGAAAAAGAAAGGAAGGAACGCGAGGAAGAAGAAAAGAAAAAGAAAGACGAAGATGGTGCGAAGAAAGATGATAAAGATGATGAAGATGAAGATGATGATGAAGAGGAGGTAAGACAAAGTGGAAGTTCAAAGTGAAAGTTAAATGTGCTAATATAAGACGAGTGGAAGTAAAATGAAGGCAAAGATTAGATACGATAAAGATGTGCCACTCTGCGAAAACTATATCCGAGGTTTTTTTTATAGCTGCCATTTTGCCAGTAAGTGGCAAACGCCATCAGTCTCTAAATACTAAATCCATCCAACGCCATCAGTCTCTAAATACTAAATTATAGTATTTTAAAAAATCCAACGCCATCAGTCTCGCCGCCATTTGGGCAGTAAGTGTTATGCACTCGTCATCTCGCGTGATCACGCGTGATCAGCACGGAAAATTACGGACACGCAAACATTAGAGAAATACGTCGAGTGGCACATCTTTATCGTATCTAATCTTTGATGAAGGCTTGCTTTAGGATTGTGTTCCTGTACACCTATTAGTATTTTGTCGTTTTTGGTATTATATATTACATATTATGCCGAAAACACGATCTTGTTCAGAAACATTGTTTCCTAGTTGTGTTTCCCGAAGGCAAACCAGAAAACGTTACAAGAAAGCTGGAAAATTCACAATTTTGAAACAAAATAAGTTTGTGAATTTGTTGGGAAATATTTTTTTTCTGGGAGATCTAGTTTGTTTATACAACGTTTTAAGGTCAGCAGGTCAGCACAAAGATCAGCTGGAAAATCGAAATGTTTCCACAACAATGTGTCCTAGTTCAAGAAATAAACGCGTGCCGGAGCATTCTTAATTTTAAACTATTCCTACCACAGAATTCATGGTTTCCGTTTTCAAGTATACAAAATTTCTAAAAAGTCAAAATTCCAATCAAAATTCCAACTTAGATTTAAAGAAATTTCTGGATACAAACTAAGAAGTTTGGTTACAATACTGTTTCTGCCTCACAGCTCATGTGATGATTGTTTTTCGTTCTTTAGGAGGAGGAAGAAGACGAGCCCAAAGATGATGATGATGATGATGCATCCGAAGACGAAACTAAAGATGAAGAGAAGGTAGAAGGTGAAGGACAAGATGAAGACGTTGCAGAAGGCGAAGACGATGCAGAAGAACAACCTAAAGATGAACTATAAATGAATGAAAATATGACTTGATATTCCCAATTTTGACCTGGACATAAAATGTTTAATGCGAAAGACGTCATGACTAAAACGTCTCTCCAAAGCCTTTATCATAAACTGCAGAGGACTTAATTAAGATTTTTTATATATGCAAATATACCGTCGGATGAACAGTCGCAGTTAAAGACGCTCTTTGCATAACACTACTGTGTAAAACATAACGGTCCCATCCAGTGTCCCATTTGGGCACCGCTCAAAAATTCAAAGATGGTCACTATTTTTCTGGCAAAAGTTTGGCGCTTTTGAGCACAACCTGACCCGTTGCTCGTACTGTATTGACTAGTAGAAAAAATGTGCTTGTAATGCAAGAAGCAGGAGATCATTATTGTACTCTCTATTAAGTCTCGTTACTGGTTTCAAGGTGCCCTCCAGATGTTATGCATCAGCTCATTTACAGTGGGTCATTAGTTGAGCACATAATTGAAGATTTTTTACGTTAGAAGAGACAAAGTCAATGTCTTTTCTGCGACTATTCATCCCAAACGACCGTAACTGGCCAAACTAAACGTGTTTAAAATGAAAGTTTCATCGACAGGAAATAAGTTCATACTTTGTGGGCCTACGCTGCATCAAAAACCAATTCTTCCGTCGTTTATGACAAAAGCTTTTAGTACAGGTATTTATTGTACGTTCAGTCCCTACTTGAAGGCATTGTAATTTGTAGACCCTTTTGTACCATCGTTAATTACAAACGTCAGTAATTTGAATTAAGTATCCATGTTTTTAAAGGTGTGTCATGGCCGGATTTTGTGGTGCACCTCCCCTTGGGAAAGTTTCAATGATAGATCAAAGTGAAAATTTGACATTTTTTGGTTGGTTAGGGTCTACACTTCGTAAGAAAGTTTTTCTGTAAAACCGAACAGTGATAGCCATTCATCTGTGTCACGTATTCTTTTAATGCAATGTTTTGAAAGAAACTTTGTAGCGTAGACAATTCCCATTACAGACTAATTTTAAAACTAGGCAAGGAGATGCAAATGAATCACCACAGCTAGAAAGAGCTTACTAAAGTTAGTAAAATTACAAAGTTCGGTTGCGAAATGTTGTAAAATGAGGAAAATAATAGCCTTGCAAAGTTCGGAAATTTTGTATGCGTGCGGAAATGGTCGCACGCAAGACAAAAGTATACAAAATTTCCGAACTTTGCAAGGCTATATTTTCCGCATTTTAAAACATTTCGCAACCAAACTTTGTAATTTTACTAATTTAGTATGCTCTTTCTAGCTGTGGTGATTTATTTGCATCTCCTTGCCTATTTAAAATTAGTCCATAATGGGAATTGTCTGTTGTAATTGAAGGGCAAAATAAAATTCGATGAGTTGTATGTTACACTACAGTAACCCTATAAGAACATCAGTTATTTGAATAACTAAATTATATAAGTTCTCGACGATTAAGAGATGCCTGTGGAGGAGGCTAATGTTACACTACGTGCGTACGTCACGTCGTTGACTTTGGCCCGTTCTCAGGGGCGTGGTGGCGACCGGGGGGGGGGGGTGTGCGACGCCCCCAAATGATTCTAAACATTAACAAGTTGGTCAAAACGTTTTGTTGGTTAAAGGATTAAAGGAAATATTAAGAGTAAATGCGCTAACATTTGAAGAAATACACCGTTTTTCATGAATATTGAAATTTGGTCAAATTTCAAAATATATTAAGGAAAAAATGCGATTAAATTTTAACTGTAATGTGCAACGCCCATCACCAATTAGTGTTCGCAGAGACAGGCGCCCTAAAAATATTTTGGGATGTGCCCCTGCGCAGAGATACTCGAAACCGTAAGACTGCAAATGCTGTGGACTGCACATTTAACAAGCAATCACGATCATTTCCCTATATTGTATATATAAAGGCTTAAAGAATTATAGTTCAAAAATATACCGAGTGTATTTTTATTAATAATTATAGTTGAGCATTCATCGTTAGCTGATTACATTGCAGATTTGCATGAACTCTCTCGTATTACCCCCAATAAAAAGAAACTGCACCACGTAGAAAAGAGAAAGTTGGTCATTTTCATTGAAAAAGTTGGTCATTATATTATTGTATGACGCCCCCCTCCAATCCTGAGTCGTTCGCCACGCCCCTGCCGTTCTTAAGCCCTAAATGGGGGTCGTGAGCTAGACCTCCCTTAAATTTGTTTCCACCTCCCCCACTATTTCCACTGAAATCTGGCCTTGAGGTGCATGTGTCTTGCACAACTTGGTGCCAAGTTGAAACATGTTGGAAATTGCCTGTCCACGTGGGTCGACCCTTTTACTGAAATAGAAGCAACCGCATCAGGCTATACGGAAAATGACGACGTGGTTGATCTTTGGGAAATCAGTAAAACGTGCTGAAGTCACTGGCTGAATTACAGAAATAAATATAATCATTATATAGCTAGGGCGAACACCAAACGTGATTGACTGATTTGTGGTCTGCACGTGGCCTTTACTAAAGGTGAAGGCTATCTCAGATACGGTAGAGCACCAGTAGCGTGCTGGGTACTATTTTTCTGGGGGGGGGGGGGGCAGCGGGCTGTCAACCAATGCGCCCCTATAATGTTACGCTTGGTAAAAGAGCGCCGAAGGCACGAGCCGGGCGCCGCATCCGGGGGCATGCTGTTCAATTTAGTTTATAATTTTAATATAAACTTCGGAAAACAAATATAAACTTTATATTTACACCTTGAGCACACAAACGTGAAACGTAACAGGAACGTACAAAACTTGAGCCCGCGATAAACAACGCGGTTATTAATAAGAACACAGCTAACCCAATATAGTGTTATCAATTAAAACGTTAAAACGTTTTTAAACTGTTGAGTGCTATTTACAACACTCCCACTCAGGCACTCACTCAACATGTCCTTGTATCAGTCCCAACTTACATCGCAGATACTCAAATTGTCCTTTGGATAGTGGCTTTGTCAAGATATCCGCTACCATTTCATTGGTTGGACAGTACTTCAACTCAATTGTCTCATCTTGAGTTTTCTCCCGAACGAAATTATATTTGATATCAATGTGCTTCGTCCGCTTGTGTAGCACTGGGTTCCTTGACATCGCGATATCACCTTGATTATCTTCATATATGGTCGTCGCTGTTGTACACTCCATCTGTAGATCTTTCATCAGTTGTCGCAGCCATACTGCTTCTTGGGTTGCAAAACATAGTGCAATGTATTCTGATTCCGACGTTGAAAGAGCCACTGTTGGTTGTTTCTTGCTTGCCCAACTGATTGCACCACCCGACATCACAAATACGTTTCCGGACGTTGATCGTCGATCATCTGAGTCAGAAGCCCAATCTGCGTCAGAGTATCCCTCTACATTAGCATCGGTTTCTTGGTACTGCAGGCGTAGCTGAGCAGTTCCTTTGAAATACCGAAAAACACGCTTGACCGCTGTTAGATGTGCCTCGGTCGGTGATGAGTTGAATTTAGCCAATGCTGCCACTGCGTAGGCTATGTCTGGACGGGAGATCTTGCTGTTCATCCACGGTTATCACATCTTTGCCCTTTAATTCCATTTCTTCTTCAGCGCATTCAGTACTGCCTTCGTCGCACTTCATTTGAACTTTTGTAGACCCGAAGTCTGTTTCATTAAAGGTTATATCTCTGCGAATGAAGATTCTTTGTCGACTCTCCTCATATAGCCTGTATCCTTTCTGTGTAAGGCTGTAGCCGACAAATCGCATCTTGACTGCCTTTTGGTCAAGTTTCTGGCGTGAAGCATCAGGAACATGAGCGTAAGCAGTACAGCCAAAGACACGAAGATTAGACACATCTGGCTTCTTTCCATACCATCTTTCGTAAGGGGTTACCGCGGTCGCAGTCGTGATGACTCGGTTTCTTACATAGGCCGCATTGCAAACTGCTTCTGCCCAGAAAGCTTTGGACAGTCCAGCATGCAGAATCATAGAGAGAGCTGCTTCTTGAAGTGTTCGGTTCATGCGCTCAGCTACCCCATTCTGCTGGGGTGAATGTGGCACTGTAGTCTCATGGCGAATTCCTTTCTCCTTTAGAAA